GCTTGTAATCTCAGTGGTGGAAGACTTGGGCTGGTTCTCTCCTACCAGAGATAATAGAAGACTGTTTCTCATCAGCTACATCAGATTCCACATTTGGAAATGTTTTGTTTGCTACAAAATTCTTATTAAATGAGTATTCCAATACAAACAAAGAAAACTTGCTTGCAGGTTTAAAGCACTACATGCAATGATATGTTGGGCTAAAGTCCTTAGAACATTGCACCATTGTTAATATGCATAATTTAGCATTAATAAAATATTTTTACTTGTGATAAATAACTGTCACAAGTATTTATTTTGATAATTTCTTGCACTGCATTTGCAAGGGAAGGAAGCAAGGTTAGCAAAGTTTTCAGCTTTTTTGCAGAGAAAAGCAGGTTCTCTAAGTTGCAGGGCGTCTCTCTGACAGAAATACTGAAATGGGTTTGTATACATCACCCGTGCTTTGTAAAACCACAGACCAACCAATACCTGCTAGCTTCTTCAAAGTCATCAGTTGGATTTGGTAGCAGGAATTACTGTCAACCTCTGAGATTTCAGTAAAATCACATGAATGTTGGTCTTAAGTTGGGAAAAGCAGAAGAAAAAACAGATGCTGCTTAGGAAAAATAAAGAGCAATAAAAATTGTAATAACGCATGTACTTTTCAATAAACCAACAAGGAATATTGAAATGTGTTTGATTCTGGTTAAATTTTTAAAAATCAACATTCTATTTCAGACTAGTTTGATAACAATGGCTGATAATTTAAATGGCATAATTGTTCATATTGAGAAGAATTAGAAATACCAAATCAAATTCAAGATTCATGTTTTCTACAGAATCACTGACCAGAAAAATTTACATTTTTAGGCTCTAAATAATGCATTATTAGATCTAAAAGGCAAAGGTGTGTCAGTAATCCACAACAAAGAAAAAGGGACAGAATAAAAGCAGAAAAACACTAGCACTAAAGTTACTCAAAATTTAATAGAATTCTCTGAAAAAATATAAACATCTTAAAAAAATCCATTAAAATGTAGTATTAATCAAAAATCTATTTACGAGTCTCCTGAGATTTCTCTATAAAGTAGAATATTTGTATTTTCAGCTGAAGTGGAAAGGAAATTTAAAAATTCTGTGGAACAAAAAAATGAACTTGGTTCCAAACAGTTCCATCGTGTATTTATTAAAACTCCATCTCTCTCTCAACATTTCCATTTTGAACAAAATTATAGAATCATATGCAAAAATCATATGCAGTATTGATTTCTATTAAAATCACATTTCTGCTCAGTAGAAGACTTTCACACATATACTAAACGCTAAGGACCAGGATCTGAAAATGTAAAAGTTCATAGTCCTGTTGGCAAGCGATCAAGAAGCTGGAATAATGACAAAATGTCTGGATTGATTGTTCAGAATTGGTACTCATTCTTCATAAACACGTGGACATTTGTGAACCTGAGCACATTTGTTTGCTGTAAATCCAATACAGACTGACAGTCTCCATTTTGGCTGCAGGAAAGCAGGTGCTGTGAGAATGAGAGAATCATATAGAATCTCCTCTTCCAGTGAAAATGGGTCCAGCTTTCACACTGTATCTTTTTTTTCTTGAAAAGGTTGTGGTGGCTGAGATCGGGTTGGCAGGGAGAACATGCAGCTGAACACCAAACTGAATTGTAAAAACCCTATTGTTAATCTTCAGCACTAAGACGTGCCCAAGAGTCACTGGCACAGAGGCCAGAGGGCACAGACCGACCCTCATCCACGAGGCCAAATCCTTCTGGGTTACACAACAGGGAGACTAACTAGTTCTTGGGAACACCCAGAAGCCACACAAAATTGCTGAATGAGGTTAGATAAACACCAAAAATGAGAAGGAAGTGATAAATGAAGAACACACATCTGCTACAGTGTGGCCCAGGAGCCAAAAGATGAGCTAAAAAGGATTGAGGTGATGTGAAATTATATTTACCACAACTCACTCACTCTCTTCTGAAGTAACAGCAGTATGACTGCTATCACAGGGGTGTAGCTGGAAATGATTACTCTAGTAGACCATCTTGGAAAAAGATTTGAAGGGATCATTTTTTTTTTTTTTTTTACAACCAGAAGAAACCTCAAGCAAACTGTAGAGTGTCCCTAGACTCCCTAGACGACAGCAATCTTCAGGTGTCTGCTAACCAATTTTTTTCTTCCCTAGAAGACAGTAAAACACTTCTCTGAAGGACAATTGGATCCGAGAAGACTGTCACAGTACCTTCTATTTTACTGTGAAGGGAAATCCATATATAAAGCTAGGCCAAAGTCTCAGTACAGAAAATTCCCCTGGTCAGACTGGCCAGTACTGCTCCATCATTCCGCTGAAGCAAGCAGCCTGTAATTGCTGTAATTTGCAAGTTTGATGTGGAGAGGAACCCATTTAAAACTTTGCTTGGGCTTTGTAGTTGCTATGACTGAGTGAGGAGACTCCATAGCTCCAAATTGCTGGAAAAGCAAAAAATAGTGCCTTTCTCACAAATGAAATATTTTTCTGAGAATTTTCAAGTAGGCTTGAAAACATATTACTTTAAGGTTTGAAAACTTCATCAGCAAGTTATGACTTAATGCCTCTATTTGCATGAACTCACACACAATCAAAAGTAAATGATTTAAGTTTAATCCACAATTTTTTACCACTCAAGAGAAAATTATTTCTTTGAAAGTTTTGAACATGCAATAGATGACACATCAGTCTTCAAAAACCTGAAAGCCTCATTTGTAGTGGATTTTATGTACGTACCTCTTTTGAATTCAAAATAACTTTTCTTGATTGCAAGCTTATCATAAAAGATAAAGCAACCAAGTAAGAGCATGATATATCCACAGTTAGTGTGAATAGTAATTGTGTTCTCCTGGATAAGGATTTTCATTCAGGGAATCCATCTCCACTTTAATTACACTCTCCTCTGTACGGTAAGAAATTATTTTACAGCTCTTAAAATTTGCAGGTATTTTAGGATTTAATTTTCTTTGAAAACCCAAACATGATAAATAACACATCCTCGAAAATAGATGCATCTCCAAAATCCTGAAATGAAGTTCAGCTGTGAATGAGGTCTTAATATTTTAATTTTCTTTCATGGAAGTTAAGACTAAAGGTTATCATGAGGCTAATTGTGCTAGTCTAAGTGCCAGTGAACTGAAATTATAGGGTCATTTATGATTTATAACCCACCTCTTTATTAACACGCAGGGAGACAGGATGCAGCCGGTGTACATCCCCAACTTGAGGGAAAAGGTGATGAATAAATAAATAAATATAAATAAAAAAAAATAAATAAAGATAAATAAATAAATTCCTCCTTCCTTAATCTCAAAGGAGAAAAGTTTTAAGTATTCTGTGAAGACTTTGTACACAAAGTGAATATAGAGATTTGATGTACATGCCCTTAGAGGCTAAAAATTGTTTTGATTTTCCTGAGAAGCAACACGAAACAGAAATATTTACTTCTGCCATCGCTACAGTTGCTTCCCACAATTGTAAAACGTTGCAAAATACTGAGAAAATAGCAGTTAGATCTATGCTTATTTTGGGATAAACACAGCACTTGCACTAAGGCTTACCATAACAACAAATATATTAGCAATTTATCCAGATTTTTCAATAGGAACAATTTTTTCAAGATTTTGTACAGCTCAGTAAAATAGAAATGTTTAATAGAAAACAAACATCCAGGTCTTTTATGTTCTTATTATATTGTACTTGCATTTAATGAAGTCGTTCAACTACGCAGCCCTACTTCACCCTCACTAGATCCATGTGTATTTCTATACGTTGAAAGAGCTCTTGCCATCCTTGCTGAGTGGTTACTTCCATTGGAATTAATTTGGCTTTGAGTGCTCTCATTTTCTGTCTCTCTGAAAAAAAGCAAGCAAACTGGTAAACAATCTGCATTTTGACTTACAACCTGATTTATGAGAGAAATCATTGAGGTCAAGTATGCTCAAACAGAAGCCTCTGAAGAGGCTCAGCACTTGCTAGTCTGAGGGA